ACTAATCTTTTGTAATGCGTTTTCTTCAAACGTGRAATAAAGGATGTGTACAGATGTTGACTTGTATCTATTTTCTTATTCACTTCTTTATCCAATATAGAACATAACATGTTTCTATTTTATATAAAAGAAATTAGACGTAGTTAATTGCGTTTAGATTTATTTTTAATAAATGAGAACAAGTTGACTGGTAGATGATTGGGGTATTAGAAAAGAGCCAAATATGGAGTTTTGGGTTGGAAATGGTCTTTTAAGAATATCTATACATCTGATATTTTAAGAGTATCAATAAACAAAAAGATCTAAAAAATTAATTATTAAAGAGTTTTTAGTGTGAGACGTATCAAGAGTATCAAGAGATAAAACTTCTTGATACGGTTCTTCAAAGACACTCTTAAATTTAATTAATACTAAATTAATGTTTAAGATACTTTTAGAGTATCACCCTTAATCATGTTTTTAGACCATTTCTAATCCAAAATTCTATTTTTTACTCCAAAATGAGTAACTCTAAAATGGAGTTGTGTTTTACTCCAATCCTACTCAATTTTTGAGTCCAACCCTACTCTACTTTGGAGTAAACAATGAAGTAAAAAACAAAAAAATTGAGTGATAAATGGAGAAACTCCATATTTAGAGTAAATTACCTTTTACTCTATTTTGGAGATGGAAATAGAGTGGAGTTGGAACAAATTTGACTGCAAACTCCATTTTAGAGTGAAAAATGGAGTGGGGTTGGAGATGATCATACGCATACTCTACAGGCCACGCTTAAAGTCAATGCTAATGGTTTTTTAAAATATATTAAATCAAGGGTCAATTTGTGTAATAACCAAAAGAAAATTCATAATTAGCCATCTAACCAAAAACCCTAGATTTAGTGCTATGATTTTGCCACATAGGGGACTTTTGGTTAGATTGCCAATTATAATTGTTTGTTTGTTTATTTATGCCAAATTCTCTTAAATGGGTCAGTTTGTGTAATAACCAAAAAAAAATTCATAACTGGCAATCTAGGATTTTATTCTTGATTTACTGTATTATTATTATGTTTGCCTATATATCTAACATGAGTCATGCATGACTCACGCTATTTTTCTTTGATGACCACTAGATGCAAAAATAAATTAGAATGAAATTTATAACCTAATGATTTATATTTACGTATAACGGGTGCATATATGATTTATATGGCAAGTAATGTATCTTGACCCATTATTTTAAGAAAATACACTTCGAATAACAATATTTAGATACGTGAATTATCCATACCCTATTAGTTATCTTATCACCTAACACAACAGAGAGTAGAGTGTAAAAAAGAAAGTCACATTTCAAGTACAACAATCTAAACCTTCTCTAACTTAACCTTTGACATCAATTACCAATTATCCTTCTTAATCCCTCTTTTCTCGTTAGCTCTGCCTACTTATCACTGTATGTTGATTCATACAACGTACCAAAACAACATGTTACTTTATTTTTCTTTGAAGTTCTATCATAATTTTCGGGTTTAACGTAAAACCATGCATATACTATTCTGGTCATCGAGACAGGATCTGGTTCGTCTCGTAATATATCATATGAAATATTTATTATGATCGCGTTTTTATGTGAACCAGACTATAAAATGTTCATTGTGAGTTTAAATTCAAATTCAGATTATAAATTTTTTATTTTTAAGTTAATGTTAGTCACTATATATTATTTAGACTGAGTTTATAAATCAAAACTTATACCGTCTTCATATGGAAGATTTAATATGATATATTATACATTGTTCGTTTTCTTTTAACGTTCCCGACTGTATTTTATTTAGTTTGACTTTATAAATCCAAAGGGTGTACTATAGTGTTCATCTTTTTGTTAGGATTTATAAAAGAGGCGGCGCGCATTTTTAGGACATTACATACACAAATACAACATTGCCTTACCTGTACCGCAATGTGATGACCTCGTTCGTAAGTTGCTTCTTAAACCAATCTAAAGAGTAGTTACTATCATCGTATATTTGCACTTGAGATGTTGTAGGTTTTAGCTAGGTAAGTAAGCAAGAAGAATCAACAATGCATATTTGGGAATAGTGAGTTCACCTTTAATATCACCTTGATTCTCATGACAGTACGCAAGTCCAGTGAGCAATTGTTTCATGTAGTGCTGCGAAAAAGGAAAAGTCATAAAACATTTCGGTTGATTGCAGGCTATGATAATGACGTATCTCTATAAACCATGGCAAAAACCTTAATATCAGGAGGAGTAAAAATCACTCGTTTGGCAAATGCATCCAAGTCATCATCCATGTACTCAAAGACCATGTACTCTTTGTTATTCTCCAATCAAATTTGAAGCATTAGGCAAAACAGTCATCACTTCTCTTCAAAGGAAAATCAGAGTCTCCTTATTTTATTACCTAAAGAAAACAAATCTTACAAACTGATGACATTCAGATGAGGGTTAAGCTTCTCCAAGATCTTTATCTCTAGGTCGTTGGCGGTATCGAACTTGAGCTCTTTAAGCGCCACAATTTCACCCGTTTCGACGTTTTCAGCCTTGTAAACTTTACTGCAAAGACCAAAATTAGAGTTCATTAAGGAAAGAAATTGCAACAACATAAACACTAATCATACGATTTCACAAGTTTTGATCTCTTTAACCAACAACCACAAATATGCAACTTAAATTCACAAGAAGAAGGAAACAATAAAAGCTTTTAGAATGAAATTGATTTCTTGAACTTGAGAATCCCAATTCACTATATCAATAAACTGTATTCGATTTTTATGCGTTCTTGTTCAAAGAAACATGGTGTTAAAGCAAAAGATTGCCAAACTGATTACGGTCCCAAGGTTGATGTATGGTCCGTTGGTTGCGTTTTCGCCCAACTGTTAAACAGTGGATCACTAATCTTGGATGGTGTTGACAAGGTACAAAAAAATTAATTGAAAAATGAGGTAAACATCTATTCTAACGAAATCATTTGAATTGTCTCCAGCTTGATCAATTGAAGAACATTTTCACACTTTGTGGAACATAACCTGATGAAGAGAACTGGCATGGGGTTTCTGACTTGTCTCATTTTGACCATGTTAAAGAGAAGTTGTCAGATGCTATGAGCAGATGCTTAAGGGAGGAGTATGGACAGTAAGTATTGTTTATAACTCATTATGTTTCTGTTGCATACTCTTAATTCTGATGGTTCATTCTCGATGCTGCCACAGCTTTGATAACCATGCCCTCAACCTATTGGATAAAATGTTGGTGCTTGATCCGACCAAGGTATTTTTTTGAAACATTAGCAACATTTGCATAAAATATATATGAAAAATCAGCTTTGTTCTTCTTTTGGTTTGGCGTAGAGAATAAGTGCAAAAGATGCTCTTGCTGATGTTTACTTTTCGACTGATCCATTACCTTCTGATCAACATGCCTGAAGAAGAATCAGCAGCCAAAGAACATGTTTGGTATTTCTTCAAAGTTTTGTTTCCATTTCTTGTTCTCTTTCCACCGTAAATAATAATACCGGGAAAATAGATATAAACGAAAATTTGGTTTGTTACCGAAACACATCGTAGTTCTTTGACCACAACACAACAATTTTCAGAAATAACTAAAAGGTT